CGATAACAACACACGCTAAAAACGTAAAGGCTCAAGGGTAGACGATTATTTGTAAACAATGACGCGCTATGGCCATCTGACGCATGCGCAGGTGACGACACCCCCGCTTTAGACCTCACTCACCGTGGTAACTTGCAACTGCCGTAAAAAGGTTGCAGTTTCTTTTAAATACATATTTGGGCTAGGCGATACTTACGGTCTGTTAATTGAAATCATTGCTGTCTCCCCTGACGTATTATTTGGGGCTAATTGCAAGTGCGCGTGCAAACCAGTCTCCCATACACAATAACATGTGTTTAGGGGGCTGGTCAAACAGTAAACAGTCAACTCCGGGAATCAATCTCGCATTGCATTGTGGGATGCGTATGTGTACGGAGTAACGGCGGTCTTATCTAAATCCGGACTTTTTAGTGTTAAATTTAGCTTTCCACTTTGCACTATTCAGACTAAGCGTTGTCAACCATATCTGATTGTAACAATCGAATTAGAAGCGAAACTCTAATTGTGTGCGTCAGGTCTATTAAACAGGGGGCTATATTTAGCTTGTCATTTCAGTGATATCACGTGCACTAACACGGTTATCTTAATTCGCCGGTGTTTTCTTAATGTCAATCTCAAACCACGTTTGATTTGACGTTTATTTCCTAGCAGTGCTCGTTAACGGTGACTATTGCACTTTACATGGATAAGGTTACCACATTCACTTCCGTCGCTCCCCGGGCACATCATCTCTTTCAATCAAAATGAATTCTGTTATGTCCTAAGATATGTTGATTTGTATTAGGAATTTGATTTCATTTTGTTCTGGCTGAGGGTAACAACGCTTTCCCATAAATAATATGCTAAATATACTAAAGCGTCACCGTCCTCACGCAGCGCGTGTTCGAATAGACCATTTTCCGTTCACTGCGAGAATCACGCGCTATGCGTGAAATCGAACGTAAAAACAGAACAAACAAAGGTCATAGCGTCGTAGTGGCGTCAAACATCGCGTGAGATTCGACAAACGCGAAAGTATTTTGGGGACATTTCCATGTCAATAATGTGCTGTACACATTTGATGATGGGCAATTTCGATTAAGTGAGGATATTCGAATGCAATATTCCTCTGTCGAAGATCGGCCGGTCGATGTGCGCTACGAAATAAAGAAATTCGAGTTCAAAATCAAATCGTTCGATTTTTGCAGCAGACATTCGACGCGCGTCTTTCATGCATCTCGCGAGATCTCGCAGTTGTACGGAAAATCACCTATTTCAAATATTAAAATGAACGAGGCAGCGTGATGAGTGTAGCGCTTTGATATATCAATAATTTAAAATATTATGTGTTCAAATAAGTTCATATATTTGATTACAAATGACAGGATTACCATTAATGAAAAACATACAGACAGATACAGCTTTACGCATGCTGATGATCTTTTGGGGGTGAAAACAATAAAAACGTGTTTCCAAATTACGTATGTTGACTTCCTTTATTGGACTGAATGAGAAATGTACAATGTTGACTCCCTGTCTTGGACTGAATGAGAAATGTTGAATGTTGACTCCCTATCTTTGACTGAATGAGAAATGTAGACTCCCTATTTTGGACTGAATGAGGAATATAGAATGTTGACTCCCTATCTTGGACTGAATGGAGGCTATATAATGTTGACTCCCTATTTTGGGAGCGATTGAAAGTTGAATAGCTGAACATATCTTCGCGTGGTTGACGAGGTTTTTTTTTTATTTCTGAGACTACAGATACCGTCGAGGTACAGTGCGAAGTGGAACACAGAATGTAAAGTCCGGTTTATGATAATGGATGCCCTTATTAATGACGTCATATCATTTTCTTGTCAACAGGTAATCAAGATGTTAGTGGTCGTGGTGGTGTTGTTTCTGACGCTGTGGGCGCCCTATCGCATATTGGTGGTTTATAACTCGGTTGTCGACAAACCTGACGAATACTCCAATGCGTGGTACATCGCTTTTTCCAAGTGGTGTATCTTTCTCAACAGTGCTATAAATCCTATACTTTACAACTTCATGTCGATTAAGTTCCGTCGTGCCTTCATACGACTATGTGGCTGCGGTAAGAATCCCAATCTTCACCGCTCTAGCTTTAGATCGTCTTCAATCAACACCGAAAAGACATCTTTGTGAGGAGCATGCGCACAAAAAAAAGAGAGAACCCACCTTATCTTTAACCAACCAATGAAACTCCTTGTTTTTCCCTTATACCAATAAAAAAACTGCTCAGTGATGACGTCAGTAAAAGATAAGGCAATGACATTTCGTGAAAATCCTAATAATAAATTATTTGTATTGTTCTATAAAGTCGCATGCAAGTTCTTGCTTTGCGCAGTCTATTGCGCATGACGCCATTACGTGCGTCTCCATATTTGGACCAATGACGAATTCTTCAGTACATATTGCGCAATACAAGAAGTCGCCTACGTCACCACGTTGTTTGGCACATTGTAATTTGTTATTGTACATATCGATGCATAGTTCTTGTTACTCTTTGAGCATAAATGTGTCGTTCAGTGGCAAACAAATCAGTACATCTTGAAATACTCTGTCATTACCATCCACCCTATCCTACCTATCACCCTGTTACGGTCAATGTTCCACTGTAAAACCTATATCCTTGGTGTAATTAACATATTGGTGGTGATTCTGCGCATGCTCTATCACGTGCATATTATGTATTCATTCATTCATGTATTAACCGTTAGTATGAGATGCCATAAATTGCATGCTTATTTAACGTCAATAACCTAACAGGAAATGCGGCACTGCACGCTGCCAGCTGATTGGCTAGTATGGCATCCTCGTTCTCGTAATCTCTTACTCTTTTTGTAACCTTGTGTTAATTATTCATAAATTTGGTGTGCATAAAACGGATGCTTTTGTGTGTGTATATATACAGATTGTAACCACGTGATCAGTAGTAGTAATGTGTTCTCCAAGCATGGTCGCATCACTACCTCACTACTAATATCGTGTATCATTCCGCAGCTATCATTTACAGTGCTGGAGTTCAATAATTTTATACTGTGTGCATATAACCAAGTGACTTGAGGTCTAATTACGTAAAACTTAGTTTGCCACTTATTACTACACATCGTGCTGATCACTAAACTGGCTGCTTTATTAATGCCATCTCACCCGCTCGCACCTTGACGCCGCGCTACGCTAACGCGCTTTGGTGTCACGTTCACTGAATGAAATGTAACTTTATATGCGCTTGAACAATTTCAAAGAAAACTACAGCAATTTTAAATTTTAATTCATATGTTCAGCGTTTCGAAATTCGTCACAATGAAACAAAGTATTGGTGATGGTAATAATAATAATAATAATAATAATAATAATATTAATAATGATGATGATGGACAAACTTGTTTTTGAATAGACATTCGATATTGCTAACACGTTTGCAAAGAAGATACATTGCGTAATATGCTCTCACGGACATCCAAATATGAATGAAGAAATGAACTGGTTTTCTTTGTGAATACAACCGCACTCAATGTTTTAATGCACGAGTCACGCTGAATGAAAAAAAAATCTGCACGCATGGGGATATCAACTTGCAGACTTGCACCGGATGCTTGCTACCAAATTTGCCAATTAAGGTTGTAATGTCACCTATAACATCGCTTCTGCAAGTATAATAATTTTTTTCTATGTAAACATCTTCAAATAATTCGTTTAAATTAAATATTGCAGAGAGCAAATCGAAGGCGCAATGGAGGACGCAGACCTGGAATTCAACTTCCGTCTTTCAGAGAATGACGCCCTCACGCCATAGAGATGAAATAAAATTACAATGTCGAACAATTTGCACTAAATCGGACACTTCAACGAGCTCATGATATGCGCTAGACAACTTATATTTACCTAAACAATCATCTATACTAAAATCCAGCCCTCAAAATAAATAGATTGTAAACAAGAACTATGTTGAGTATTTTAAAATAATATGTATCACCATTTACGACATTTACGACACTACTTTAACTATTAATTAATGTATCATTGTACATTTTATTGTTATTGACAAATATTGTGATTATGACGTCATATTATATCGTACATTCTACTATGTATTGGAACGATAAAAGCAAACACCTGTATAATATAGGTGAACGAAGCAATCATTGGTATAGAGGTGGTTTTCTCTTACCCACAATGCACCGTGATCTCGACTGAACCACGTATTTTGACTATGCTAGAAACACGATGCAATTTAGAGTTCAATATTGTTGTCAAGGAGATTCACAATTTATAAAATTACACATATGCGTCACGCGAGATTGTGGGAATTTGGGGAAACACCCAGCGTACCATGTATTTTTTTTTTTTATAAACATCTCATGAACCCCCGATTCTCAACCGCTTGCTCTAATAGGTATACTCTTCGGATCAAGACCATCCCGCCAAAATTGTATCTATGTGGGCACCCACAGTCTCCAGCACATCCCTCCTACACCTGATTCCGACTACGACTCTCCTCAACCACCACTGCCATTACCACCACCGTCACCTCTATCTTCATCTGTCTTACGATCTATCTCTGAAACCACCAATGACAAACCGAGAATGTGGACCGTCACGTGATATGAACGTGCCGTATTGTACGTCTTGTCTTTTCTCCTCCATCCCTTCTATGCACGTTTTTCAACGTACCTGCCTGCCACGCTATGATTACTGTTTTTACTTTCTTTAGAACGCATGACTGCATAATTATACTACTACCTAATGACATCATCAACTCCTCATAGCCATCTGTTCACATCTGCCATACGTCTAAGTTCCTCGTGTTAAATGCACATGGAATGGAATTTGTCAACAGTCTGATAATATCACAGCCTAACCATGTATATTCAGATTACTTTTTTGTTATTCTTGGGAGAACTTTCAGACTTTTTTTTAGCTCCAGATCGTTCAACTCAATTTGATGCACTCAGTAATGGATGAAATTCCAGATATACTATTGCCTGGCCTTCCTTCCCCCAATATTACTTTTAGGATTGATGGTTTAACTGTTTGACATATCAATTAACAAGCGGGATGTTCAGATTAATCGAATTGTTACGTGGTCGCAAATACAAGCTGCACGACTAGTCATTCGTTAAAGTATGTTCTTGGCGTATAACTCATAGCTTTATGCGACATTCATAGCTTCAGACACCCCGGTGTATATTTCAGCTTAAATATTAATTGTATATGATACATGAATTTCAGAGCAGGAATAAGTCGCCCACGTATAAATTCAATTACGGACACAGACTTATCATTCCACGTGCATTTTATAACAGACACATGCCCTTTCTGGGCGACAGCTTGTCTATTTCCGATAACGTTACAGATCCATTACATTAATTTAGTGATTTACCGGTATTTTGATCGATTGGTTTAAACAATCAGTTTCCATCGTTTTATGTGGATTTTTTCAATACTAACTAATGTTACTATATTTTTTTTGCCATGCATGATTTTAACTTATTAACGCATGAATGTACGTGCTCATCGGAATTCAGCATGCAAACTTGTATTGTGCATGTGTATTGTTAGTTAGTGTTCAGTTTTGCACTCCTGTATCAGAGACTCAAGTATAGATAAGCCTTTTTTTTAATCTCACCATCACTATACTTAATTGTCACATTTTAGGCGCCAGATCAGAGGAGTATTTATACACCCGGACCGAAACTGTAACCACGCGTACAACACCAAACAATCAACAACCAATGGTGTCGACCGCCTACAAACCTGCCCGATACGTCACCGTAGAAGATGACAATACGCGCGCTTGATTGATTTAACATTTCAGATTTCTGCTTAACATTTTATGAGAACAAATTGAATTGAAGCGAGATATTTTTACTGATTTCATCCAACCCCCACATACGATAGATTTTACTCAGAGCCAACAGAGAATACTAGTATATTCCAGGTGGTATTGTACACTCCACGCACGCGCAGATGCCGGTGAAAATGGAACACAGGCACAGCCTCGGTCAACACTACTTTATACAAACAAAATAGAACATTTCAAATAAAAAAAAGAACGACGATACACTAAACATAGGTGTTACTAAAAAAAATACACTAGTGTTGACAATTAGACAATTGTAGACAATTAATTTAACACAAGTTCATGTTCATTGTACAGCAGCATTATTGTAACCGTATAGCTGGTGAAATGTCTTATTACAATCAATAAAGTCATCATATATTCAAGCCTAATCATATTCACTTGCTGTAGTATATTTTTTATTCGCACTGTACACTGTATCCATAACCAGACGAAAATGGCCGCTAAAATCTCTTCGACAGTGAGAGAGCACGTGACTATTCTTGACCGTCGAACAGTGGTCCATTCTGTTCCGCCATCGCGTCATAACTGCTCAAAATACCTCGGTTACAAAGACAGGCGAATGCGATAACGAAAATAGAACACAATTTGAGGTACAAAACATTCTTCAAACAAACAACTGACACCGACCTCTTTCTTTAGTCGAGCGCCCTCAAACACTTCCTGTTT